ACAGTCAGGAGGATCGGGCATCAAGAGTCAAGATAATTCACGCTAACGATTCCATTCCCGCCCAAGGCAGATATAATCTTGCTAATATCCAGCAATCAGGAACCTCGCCCAGTACAATACTTCACCAATTCGAAGCCCAGCTTCTATCTACTCACCAAGTGCGAATATCACTGGCTTCAAGTTGGCATTCGCAATCCTCCACTAGCCACCAGCTTCAGGCTATAGCTATACTTTGGTAATAGAAGACCCCCCCCCCCCCCCCCTTTGCCATACTGTAGGATGGACCGAATTACCGCCACGCCATAGATAGAAAATATGGTCTTGGCTGCCTATTTCAGGATCCTCTCTTTAGTCTAGCCTGGCAATAGGATCATACGGTGCCCCTTAATAACAGAGCAGTCCACGAGGAAGCGATATTCAGGGGCTGCAGCGAGGGGTTTGCATGAAAATGTGTCACGCGGCCGCAAGACTGAGCTGACGCACGATATTGGCATGGTCAAGATGTCTAGCATTATGAGCAACGTCAGCAGGGCACTGTTGGATCCGAGTCTCGCAAGCTAGCGCCAAGGAGGAAGGTCGTTCTGAGTGGCTTCAGAGAGGATCCTCATAGTCCTGCCTGCGGGCCGGAGGCTTTCCCGAAGGCCTGACCACCTCACTTGCCATCGGGGAAGCCGGAAGTAATACAGCCTTCAAGCTGAGCCTCGGTCCTCGGGATTAGCCATGATTTAGAGTTAGGGCGTGGCATTACTTTAAAGAATTGCTCCTTTAGGAAAATGCCTGCTTTTTTGCTCGAAAAGTGATGCCTCTCGGTTTATCGTTCCCAAGAAGGAGGTTTCTATAAGCGGAAGGAATAGTACCTGTTTCTCAATCTCTGTAGCCTTGTATATAACCATGAAACTCCCTTAATTAAGTTGCTCCCACAAACCACACCTATACACCAGGAAACTGCGTGCTTTTCCTTTTCTATGCTTTTATAATCTTGGCCTCACCATAATTCTCAAACTCCAGGCCTACAACCCTGCTACAGGGAAGTTTGAATCGTCCAGCATGGGAATATCCTCCTAGAAGCCTCAACATAAGGAGCCAGGCCATATAAAGACGAAGCCTATGGCAGGAGCTCTTTCTACATTAGGTGAACAGAGCTGCAATCATTCTGATAGCCGAACCCCACCAGAGCATTCCTCAGCTGCTACCAATGGGGTAGTTGACCTCACTAGGGACAGTCAAAGTATCGAGCCCCCTCCAAAACAGTGTGACAGCCAGCAACATCATAATGTTGAAGTAGCCAACAATTGTCGAGGTATAAACCTATATTATTTTATTTATTTATCTACTAAATTTACTTAGGGAATAAAGAGGATATAGTTAGACTTTAGGTCGAATCTAACACTTTAATCTACTCTCGTACGAGAATCTCCTATTGCGACAGGGTGAGGGACCAGGCGTGAATAGCAGTATGACTGAACATTCAGATATAAATAATAATCGGGGACTAATGGAAATCCCCACCTCCGCCAACCCATCATCCACCCTTATAGAGCGACTGAGCCCTACAACAGATTCATCCAACCATTCATTACATCCTGCACCTCCGTCTCAACAGGACGCTGTTACGCAGGCAGGTGCGAGCCAGGAAACTGCCGATCAATTCTTCAGCCAGCCTAGTATATTAGAAGGAGATCCAAATGCGCTTCAAAGCCAGAGAGTTAAACCAAGCAATGAAATCTCAATAACTCTCACAAGAACAACCAGCCAAGAAACTGATAGTAGTGCTCATCATGAACTCCTACCTTCAGCATCAAAACAAACCACCACTAAACGAATCTGCTGCGGATAGGCAACTGTACAGAAGGACCCTAATAACATCAGTAAGCGAAAGGTTCCGCTAGGATTACAGCCTACTAACCTTTTACAGGCCAACCTATCAATACAAAGAATATCAATAAGATTCTGGTTTATAGAGTTTATGGACCAGCAAGGCCAGCAACAGATACCGCCGACGGTGAAGAGATAGCAAATATGGATCAGGACTTTGACAGTTCTATTAGCATATCAACTACTACAACCTATACTATATCCGAGTATATTAAAGCAGCTGCCGTAGTCAGTAATATAGATATAGAGTGGGAAATTAACGGCGATCTGATGGGGAAAGAAGCGATTGATGGCGTGGTGCACTATTTGGTTCCCTGGAAACTAACCCTTATACCGGAGCATGAGATCTATACCCCTGAACTGATCTGCAGTTTTGAGAAAAAGTTTCAGGTACGAACATACAAGCAAGTAAAGGGAGCTAGGGTGAGGAAGAAGGCTACGGCCAAGTATCCAAAGTCCAAGGGCAGGTGTGAATAATATGAGGTAGCGGCATCGAATTGGCCTTACAAGCAAGAGTACCATTAAGGCATCAGCTACGGTGTAAATACATCTATCAGACGAAACAAGCTAGAGCCTTGGCATGTGACCTAGAAAAAAGGGGAAATCCGGAAAACCCGCTTCCTCGAACACAACATCATCAAGATCATCATTTTGAACTAGTCATCGAAGGACCATTTGATCAATTAACTAGCCTGATTTTAAGCCCCTGATATCACTCATTTCACCTCTATTGAACTACCGAACTCGGACCACACACTAAACCCTCGTGAGTAACAACATCGAGGGACTAGTTGATCCTTGAGTCCTCCCTCACACAAGACGATCTAAACATATAACAGGACCTTACTTCCGTCCAGCTTGTTAGATCCTGCATCATGACCCAGATCTGCAGCACCCACGAATCTGAGTCCGTCCCAAGCATCGCGGCTGACAGGATTCTTCGTGTGCGAACCTTACAACAGGTAAGACGGAGGACACTCATCAAGATGCTCTCAGAAAGACAAGACGTGGATTTGAAGAGGAGAGCAAACGTTTGCTGGCGTGTGGCCTGGAAAAATCTGAAGAGGAGGGGACAATGGTTTGAAAGGGCGAGGGAGACTGTTGAACTGTAGGATTTTGGCCTCGACCACATCAACAGCTTTAAACAACACATCTACCGCATATCCTAAGTTTATCGTAACAACAAAGATAGACCGCTGCTGGGCTGCAGAGACAGTATGACAAATGTAGGACTACAGCATATGGAGAAAGCAAGAGGTACCGAAACACCAAAACTGAATTTAAAGGTAGAACTAGATAAATGCTACTGGCTCTGTTCCCGCGTTTTGGTCCGGAAGGATACATGGCAGATACGTAGACCAAGAACCGAGTGTGCTAGGGCCGATCCTATCACTCGCTCTCAAAGCCTACCAGCTCGTTCGATGCCTTCCAAAGCTTGCTTGCAGACTCCTCGTCGTAAATCCACGGGGCATATCCAATCTCGTTATTCAACCAGTCTCCCGTAGTATCCGCCGGTCCCTCGTCGACGAGATTGCTGAGGTACTTGCCGCCTCGACCTTCCCATTCCCTACTCAGCCCAGCATAAACAGCCGCGGCCGCTCCCTGGGGTTCGCTCTTTATAGTCTTGTGCCTTGTTTCATCCTTCAACATCCCCTCTACTATCTCCTGGCTGAGATACTGAGAGAGATTGGTGGCGATAATACCCGGGTGCACAGCGAGGGCGTGCAGTCCCTTGGACCCGTACCGTCTTTCGATCTCGTTGGCGAGGTAGATAGTGGCCGTCTTGGATTGGCCATATGACGCCCAGGGGTCGTAAGGGTCCTTTTCGAAGTTGAAGTCATAGAAGCGGACCTTGCCGTAACGATGGCCGGCGGAGGCCACAACAACTACCCGCGATTGGAACTCAGGCGTGGAGGCTGCGAGCAGATCGGGCTTTAACAGTTGGAAGAGGAGGAAGTGGCCCAAGTGGTTCGTGCCAAACTGTGTCTCGAAGCCATCCTCGGTCCTCCCTTCGGGCGTGGCCATAACGCCCGCGTTGAGGGTGAGCAGATTAAGCTTGTCGCTCTTCTCGTGGAAGGCCTTGGCAGCTGCTCGCACCGAGGCGAGGGAATCTAGCCGCAGCTCTATGCCGTGGACGGGCGCATCAGATTTGGGGCCGGGTCCGTTCTTGACTTTGTCGACGGCCTGCTGGGCCTTGACGGCGTCTCTGGCAGTGAGGTAGAGAGTGGCACCGGCGGCGTGGAGAGCTCGCGCTGTTTCGACACCGATACCAGAGTTTGCGCCCGTCACAAGGGCGACCTTGCCGGTGAGCTTGCCGATGAGGCCTTCGTCCTCAACGACCTGAAGAGCCGTGGGCCGCGCATCTCCAGGACCCTGGGGGTTAGCGTGGGAGGCGGTGTATTTAGACATTGCGATGGATTTCTTATGGAGTCTGGCTTGTGCAGTAAGAGGATGGGATGGTGTTGTTGTGGTGGGTTGATGATGTGTGACTGTCAGTTTGAGAGAGGAAGCAAGTCGTTTTATACCAGCAGTGTGTGTGAGCTCCCACAGAGCGGTTCCACTAATGCCGGATTTATAAGCTCAAGCTCACACATGCCTGGAACCGGAAGCCTCGAAGCGCATGAAGTGTCTGTGTCATGTCTATGACCCGTAAATTATGGGGGTGGATAACTCAAATCCCACTGCCATGGCGTGTTCTTATCAACAGCCACTGGTGTGGGGCGTATGGGGCCGTGACGCTCTGATCTTGACGCAATCCTGAGAAAATGCAACGACACGATGGAGCTGTCGGTGTTAGATAAATGGGTATGGAAATCTTGGAACACGTCGTTCTGAGGCACTACTAGATTGGACGGAGAAGCTGAGGTCTGCACTCTGCAGACACGATTGTGTTCAGGCTCCCATGGTTGAGAACTTGAGACAGCTGGCCGTACCTTTGCCCACAATTTATCATAGTTGGCGCTCTGCCACAGCTTAGTTAAAGTTGAATAAATTAACGACGAAACAGAGTGATTAAGTCGTACTAGAAAGACATCATCTAATTGCTGAATTTACATTACTGCGAGATACTTTTTAGTATAAGAGGGTTCGAAACCGGCCGCCTGCTCAATATTTACAAGGTGAAAAACAACATGGACCTTTGGCTCTTGCATGCTTCTATGCCTGGATTAGACTAACTTAGTTTTGCCTTAGCTTGCACCGAATATCCTATCCTCATTAAGTAAACAATCCAAAAACTCTACCTGCGACTAGCATTTTGCACTAAGCCATGGCACTGCTTTATAAGCCCAGTTGATTGTTTCCCTAAAACGGTAAGAAGCTATTAATAAAGCGACGGTGCCCAAGATCTACGTAGTAGCGCGTCGCGGGCTGCGACAGACCTGTCACATGCAAAGATATGTTTGATCTGCCATTAGATCCTCCACCCCTACAATACGTTGAAAGGTAAGTTGTGAAGTACCCACAGTGGAATGTCGAGGAGATACTGCAGCAGAAGTTCGAATCCTCTACTATAACCTCGTAGACAGTCGTTGGATCCAGGACATGTACTATAGGAAGCCTTTACACCATAATTAAGAGAAGGGCTTTGCATAGCCGGTACCAGAGAGTAAGACTTGAAAAGTTTCGAGTACGAATAGTGACAGCTAAAGAGCCTTGCTGGAGAACAGCTCTGATATAAGGTACCTACTAGATTTGCAGGGAGGAGGATCCGAAACCGTCGGGTGGTGGCATAGCGTTTACGCTAAGGCCACAAAAGGGAAACAATCTGAATCTTGGCACGCCGGTGTTGAAGTGCCTTATCTCTTATCTCCGGGGCTAACTAAATATCCCAGCAAGGATCTTCTGAATTTCTCTGCAACTTACCTCCTTCAATTGTTTCCCTAATTCGGACGACAACCAGCCGAACATACCGCCACCCATCCCATCGCCATTTTTATGCCGATATTTGGCACCATATACATTCTCCATACGGACAGGAGCACGCTTGCAGCCCCACCTGGGCAGATACCCGTGGTTTAGCTTCCATCTGAGTGATACTGGCACCTTGGCAAACTTACTTCTTGCCGGCAAACAGCCTTGCAACGGTGTGCCCGGGTAGATTCTGTCCCCGTCCAAAGGTGCCGGTACATTCCAACGGAACGATGCTCAAGGGGCCACGAGCGGCTAAGGGGTTTGTCTTTGTCACCGCCGACGCCCATGGTCAGACGGCTGCTGGAGATCGTAAGCTCATACGGAGTCACGTCATGCGGGGGAAGAATACCCGTACACGAGCTCTTCCTGGTCGAGTGAAGGGCCGTTCCCCGGCTACCGCTGTGGGAATACAACGGCTACAGCATGCTGCAGGAGACAGTGATTCTTCTGAAGAGTCCCACGGAGCTCGGACACGAAGTGAGCTGCTCGACTCTGACGAGGATGCTCTGGCCCGCATCAGACATGCAGAAATGGTCCCCGGTGCTGCCGACATGTTCACTTTCATCAAGTTCCCTGAAGACATCGATAGTAGTTCGCGCAGCTTGCTATGCGCATGTACGTCTCTCCCCTCCGACCATGAGCACGCCCTGCCCCTGACGCCTTCTGTCCTCCAGATTTTTCGTACATGAAAGATGAAATGTACCCGATCGTGAGGTACTCTCGCCCTGACACTCCCAAGACATACTGGTTTCACTGGGCCCATTTCGACTTAGCCTACCTGCACTCCATCCTTTACATGACGTCTTTTTCTTTGGATAGTTTGAGGGGGCAGAAGAGTAAGAGGACGGAGTTTCACGCCTACAGGATGATTCACGAGCTTAACAAGCAACTATCTGATCCGAACACTGCACTGACCGACTCGACAACTATTGTCGTCATGGCCTTGGCCTTGATCGCCGAGTCCTTTGGAGACGTAGAGTCCGCCCACATGCACGTGATGGGTCTCAAGAAAATCGTCGACCTGCGTGGTGGCATAGAATCGTTTGCAAGTCACCCTCTACTTCAATCCAAACTTCACCGGTAAGTCGCTAGTTCTCTCTTATATTCAGCTTCTCAGGCTCCGGCCAATCGCTGACCTGCCAACGCCGGAAGAACTGGTCTAGTCCACAGCATCTGCACCGGCGCGAATCTAGCCTTTCACCAAAATGCTGCGTCGTTCGACTCAGCTTTCGACGGTTCATCTGAACTTGCCCGGCTCAAGCCATTGGACGCGTCCTGCTTCTCCCGCTCGCGCTCTGTGGTACGGACTTTAGAAAGGAGGCTCTATGCCATCTTGAAGGATGTCCAGGACCTCTCACAGCTTATCAACGATAGCCACGATTCCGGTCACAAGATACGGGAGATGTCTCTCGAGGATCTCATAACATACATTCAATCCCGGCTGCTCATGCTCGAATTTGAGGACAACGACATTTTCCCCGAGCTTCTCCGGTTATCACTCCTCGCTTTCTTGACAACTATCTTCTGGGGTTTTCCTGGTGTCAAATTCGAGTACCCGCGTCTGGCCAACCAACTCCGACAAGCTTGCATGGCCTTTACGCCCAGCACCGCTGGAGAGAGCTATCTCTTCGCCTGGGCCTTGATGGTGGGGGCAACGTCTGTGTTCCGAGGCCCTAATCAGACCTGGCTTCTGCAAAGACTGCGCCCTCTGATCCGGGACAGTCTAGGGAGGACGTGGTTCGAAGTAAAGAATAATTTGAGGCAAGTCATGTGGATCGATAGCATTCATGACGGCCCGGGGATAGAGGTCTTCAACCAATGTCTTGGGGAAACAGGGGACAGAAGTATTGTTCCGATATAGTAATGGACGAGATCTATCTAGCGCTCTGTTGACCTCTATGCCTACCCCTAGGCTTGATCATGGGTACTCTGCACTGACGCCCTTGTCGAGGTACAGATGTCCTTGCATGACCGAAGCCAAAGGTCCAGTCGTTAATTCTGTGACGGAGACGAGAAGTAGACTAGGCACCGATTTGCCACCGCAAAAGCGATCATGTACGGTAGAAATAAGGTTTATGCTGTATGAAACTATGATACGGCCGAAAAGCTAGGTTTTAGCTTTCCACTCTAACTCACCTTGATCTTCCTATTGTGACATCCCGCAGAAACTGGCCGGCGTACTCCACACAGCTCTGCCAGGCTGAGAATACCATATGGCGGAAAGCAAATGAGAAGATAACGCTGTATAGTCTGCTAGGTATTATCGGCGTACATGTACCAATCATATATGGGGAGGGGAGCGGCACTAGCAGCAACAGCACCGAAGTCAACATCCTTTCTGGAGCCTCAGGATTGAAGACATTCATCACCCAAACAGGAACTGGTCTGCACGAAACATCGGCTGCATACTTTTACTTTGCTCTCACAGACTATAACGATGACAAAAAATGGGATATCGTCGTGATAAAGAAAAATGGCACCAGCACCAAAGCATCGAATTGCACATCCTGTCGGCGCGTTGGGATTACAATAGTTCATTCTGTAGACAGGAACTGGCATGAATGAAACTGATAACGGGTTCGACTTCGCCGTCGCAGACTGGAACACTGGTCGTGGTGAAGAAAAGCAATACCAGAAGTCACTGTACTGAGGTGGACGAGACTGACTAGCCACTAGTTCTGTGGGAACACTAGGTGAAAGTTCAGACCATGGGCCGGTTCGGCGATACCTTGTTAAGAGTAAACCGCGTGAGAAATGACATGGCTTGTATTGGGGAACCAGGTCGAGTGAAGTGAAAGTTGACCTCGGTGAGAGTACGTCATGGGGTGACTGTCGTGAGTTAGCGTTGGAGGTCGCATCACTCTTTTCGATAGTACTCGGGTTCTTCCTGGGCTGTACACAATGCTCTCATCTACCTTACTGGGTTAAGCTTGGCCTATGTGCGTAGCAAACTGGACACAAAACTATACTCGAAACTTTATCGATACTACCAACAGATAGTTCCCAAGTTGCTATAGTTTAATGCATCTCGCCCGGCTTTAAGCGAGAAGAAAGTATAATTAGTATACTGACTTTGCGATGCATTCGAGATATATATATGCAGTACTCTGAGATAGTTTTATGTTAGATTGAACTTAATCATAGAAGAAAAAGTCTCTCACAAAGTCTTATAAACTATCAGGTCTCATCCTATTCCCTCTCTTACTAGTCTTGTCCGCTATCATCCTATTCTCTCTTCCAATTACCACCTCTACTATCAAGATGTCGCTTCTCACTAACACTACAGATACGGTCTCGGGCTCTTCTCAGGATCCTGAGGTAACAGAGATGGCCTCAGGAACAGACAGTGACACCATCCGCGATATTTGCTCTTATCACCGCAGCAAATACTACTTCCCTCTTGTCCAGAACAACTTTGGCCAAGTTCCTTCGGCTTTGTCTACATCTTTCAAGGCACCTACGTCCGACCTTGGCGATTTAAGCGTTCTGCCTGAGGAGGTTCTAGCGATGATAGCCTTGAATCTAGATATTGATTCCTTTCGTCATTTCCGTCAAGTCAACCGCCAAGCACGGTTCATAGCCACCGCTATCCCTCAGTATCAGCAGGTCTTGTGCTGGAATAACTCGTAAAGGTGCCAGAGGATAATAAAACGTATAATTTTGCCGAAGAATCAGTGGGGCACTTTGACGATATTATAACGATGGAATGACGTCATAGAGTTATCTACATGACGGTAAAACGCGCAATTTTCCGCATCCTCGGAACATCCAAGGCCTATACCCAGAGTGATGTGCTCAACGTCCTCGAGTAGTTTCGGCTTGACCTCAATTTGAGAAGGCACTGCATTCTGATGCGGGATTATGCCTCGAGGAACTCAACGTTCTTTCTTCCGCGCCCTCCTTCGTAAGAGTCAACCTCAAGTTCCCACGACCAGCTTCCCTTAGCGCCCATCCCTAGAAACGAAAACTCTCGATGATAGTCGATAGATCGGTGTCTGTTTTTGACGCAGCTCGCAACGGCAGCGCCAGGATATCACGCTGCCGAAGCGGCACTCCCGGTCGGAACTGGCGTATTGCGAACAGGCCGGCTATTGGTCGTCATCCTGCTGCCGTTAGAAGAGTTCCCGACCCAGAACCAAGGATGTTTCCGACGAACTCTGATCTTGTGCCTTCAGCCTCCTAAAGGGATATTAGTAAAGCTGTTACTGATACTGACTGGCACAGCCTACCACAAGCAACCGAAACCTGGGTCTATTTCGTATTCCAGACCCTACCGGCACTACCCTGGGGCCGTCTTTGCTCTTCCAAGGCGTTGGCAGAAGTATATGCATGACTTGACCTTAATTGGGGAGTAGGCGTGGCGATGCACTTAGGATGATAATTGGAAATTTATGAAAGAGAATTATAGAAGCAAGATAACCCTAACGTACATAATAAGCGAGTCGGAAATACAAGCGAGTGTCACGGGCCAGGGCCCATATCCTTGCGGCTGTGCCGCAAGACGTACTTGGCTCGTGCGCGCCAGGATGGGAAATCATTCCACAGCTCAGGGGCACTTAGGAATTTCTTTCTTTCTTCTTCATCTTTGATATAAATAGCATCCTGGACTAGATAGCTGGAATACAGTTACTAGAGGCCGTTCACAGCGAGTCGGAAAAAATCCCTCAACTCTCCTTCTTTTTATTCAATCAATTATTTCTCAACCACCAAATATGTTACAGTCAAGCAAAGAGGCAAATATCATCCTTGCCCTTCAGGCTCTTCAAAATAATCCAAAATTACACGTCTACCCTACCGCAAGGATTTATAAAGTCCCGCCTAGTACCCTCTATAACCGACATTATAGCAAACCTTCTCGAGGCGATATTATCCCTAATTCGCATCGACTAACCAATCTCAAGGAACAGATTATTATTCAATTCATTCTCAACCTAGATTTACAAGGATTTCCCCCGCAACTGTATAGTATTAAAGAAATAGCTAACTAACTGCTTGCTAACTGCAATGCATTACCAGTCGGCAAGTACTGAGCTTCTAACTTTATTAGGCAATAATTAGAGCTTAAGATATATTTTTTTTGTAAATATAACTATTAAAGAGCTAAATATAAAGATCTAATTATTATTTATAATTAGTTTTAGCTTATAGAGAATATAATTATAAAATATAATATCAATTTAGTTAATATTTATAATTTTAATAAAATTAGCTTTATAATAGGTATAATTATAAGTAAAATAGTTATTATAGGTATAGATAGGTATAGAAACTTAAAATTAATTTAGCTTAGAAACTGGAAATAGGTTATAGTTATTTAGGTAATTAATATAAAAAGCTGGGCAATCTAGTTATTTATTATAATTATAGGCTAATATTATTTTATTAACTATATTATAGCTTAGGTTAACTAGGCAGTTAGTTCTAGTAGTAATCCTATAAATACCTACTTTTTTTATTTAATAATATATAGAGTGTTATACTAAGGATTATACCTATAATTCTAAATTATTACAATCCTAGAATTGTTATAATTTAATACTCTATATAATCCAACTAATTTCTATCTAGTATATAGATACTTATTTAGTACTTTTATAGATAGATAGCCTTACCAGCTATTAATATACTTAGTTATATTAAATCTACTATTTTACTATTACCAGACTATAATCTATATTACTTACTATAATATTCTAATCTACTTAATTATATACCTTATACCTTAGACTTATTTTATATCCTTAAGTTAGACTTAACTATTATATATTAATAGCTCTTATTTAGTATATTACTATGTTAACCTAAGTAATATCTTAAATTAGTTATTATAGCTTCTATAACCCCTACTATTACCCCTTCTTTCTTAAAGAGTTTAAGTACTAACTATAATAGTAATATTAATATTATCTCAGAAAAAGAAGAAAAGAGGAGGAAGTTACCTAGAAAGATATAAAGAGCCTTAGAAGGGCTAATAAAAAACTATCTAACTAACTTAATAACCTCCTTAATACCTCTAAGGTAAGTATAGAAAATAAGCAGCAGCAAATCGACATCCTAATAGAATAATATAAGAATCTACTTAAGTATAATAATAAAGTTACTATAGAACTTATTAGATAGAAATCTATATATAAGAACTTTATTAAAAATACTATATCTAATATAGCTAGAGGTAAGAATACTAAAGAAATCCTTTAGCTATATTAGCCTAACTCTTATAATAGTATAATAGTAGATTATAGAGATTCCTTATATAGCTACAGGCCTACTAACTATACTATTCAATATAATTTAGAATAAATAAAACTAAGATTTAATATAGAATAAGATTCCTTAAGAATAAATCTTATAATAGTTTAAACTTATTATAAGAGATTATATTAATAATATCTATAATTAGTAAAAGAAGGAAACTAAAGCTATTTATAGAAGCTATATAGTCTTTAAGTATAAGCTTAAAAGCTTCTGTAATTTCTAAGATAAAAAATAAATAGCTAAATAGCAAATTTAGAAGCTTAAATAGAAAGAAGCTATATCTATTTATATAGCTAAATACTATAACTTTATATTATAACTTAATTAAGAAGAAAAAGCTTTTATAGCTAGCTTCTACTAGAAATTAAAGTTAGAAGTTAAAGATATTATAGTTAAAAAGAAAAACTTACTACCTATAATAACTTATAATACTTACTATAGAAATTAATAACTAGCAATTTAAAAGACAATAAAAAAAAAAAGCTAAGAAGTTTAGAGGAATATATATATAACCCTAGAAAAATAAAAAGTATAATATAAATTAAAGGAAAAAATACCAGAGTAATACCTCCTATAGAACTTAATCCAGCTCTATAAAACTAGAAGCTGCTTAAAAGAATTACTTAAAGATTAAGTACTAAAACTGTAGAAAGATAAACTACTTTAAAAGTGTTAAAGACTAAATAAATATATAAATATATATCTTTAACCTTAAGAATTAAATCTTAATTAATTCTATAAATAAATATAATACAGTATTAATAGCACTATTTATACTGTATAAATAGCACTAAAATACAGTATAAATACAGTATTAATTATACTATTTATACTGTATAGAAAAGATATTAGCCCCACTTATATTTGGAATCATTTTTAATTCCAAATCATTTTAACTTATAATCCGGATACTTCGGAAAGTATAAGCATTTTAAGTACAAAGATTATACTAGAAAAAGGCTGCTTTTTTAGGCTTTTTTATGGTATACAATATGTCTCTATATCTTTGATGATTTCAAATCAAACCACCTTTGATTTCAAAGCAGAGACTTGATTTCAAAGCAGAATTACTCAGAATCCTCTAAACATTAGATGACAATAATAGTACCACTAAAAAGCCGCTTTTTTGGGCTTTTTAATAGTATACTTATTGTCTAGCTACAATATCTAGATTTTGAGAAATTGTCTATAAAAAGCTAGAGACCCTCTGGTAAATTCTGAACTTTTATATATTATTATTATCAGTACAAAATACACTATTATATACTATTATACACTATTTTACACTATTATCCCTTATCTCTTATCTTATCCCTTATCTATATATTCTTTATAAGAATATTCCTTATCTATAATTTATCCTATTCTTCTACTACTACATAACCTCTTACAGGTTATGAGCCCGGATTACATAAGCATACCCTATACCTAAAAGATCACAAAAATTCAATCTATTTAGCAAGATATTTCTGAATATTTTGCATATCTTATTATAAGACTGAGAACAGAAAATCTATTCTCTCTACTAGATTATATTATATTATTATAGTATAGTCTAAAGAAAGATAAAAAATCTATAAAAAATCTCTTTTATAAAAAAGGAAAAACACATTTTATAAGAGACGCATTTTGCGTTCATTCGATTTTTCTACTATTATTAATAAGTAGAAAACTATAAAAAAAAAAATCAAGAAAAATATTATAAAAAATCAGAAAAATATCAGAAAAAATGGGAAACTCGGAAAAACTTTATTCCATTCCAAAGCTTAAGGGAACTGAAAATTATATTACCTGGTCCCTAAGAACAGAAGCTTTTCTTATTAAAGAAAGAATTCATTCTGGTATTATTACAAAAAATAATGAAAAATCTGAAGAAGCTCTTGCAAATATTCGTCTTTTAATGGAAGACGGACCTTTATTGCAAATAAAGCATTATAATAATGCTAAAGATGCTTGGGATTTTTTGAAAAATCTTTATAATTCCTCTGGCTTTACCTCTGAATTTCTTTTAATTAAGGAATTCTTTAATCTAAGCTTAGAAGATATTTCTATTGAGAAATATCTTAATAAAATAAAGGAATTAAAAGATGAATTACTTAGTAGGGATATTAAAATTCCTGAAAAAGTAATTATAACCTGGATTTTACATAATCTAGATGATAGCTATTTTAGCTATATAACCAGTGTTTCTCAAGCTTTAAGAAATAATCCAAATTATTATACTTTGGAAACTTTATCTTCTAGTTTACTAGATGAATCTAAAAGACTTGAAAACAATGGTGAAAAAGCTTTTTTAATTAATAAAAAGCCTTGGAAAAAGGCTAAAGTTGCTTTAAAATGCTCTTATTGCAAACTTAAAGGGCATTTACATAAGGATTGTTATTTTTTACATCCTAATAAAGCACCTAAAAGCTTTAAAGTTGCTAAAAATAAGAAACCTTCTTCTAAAGAAAAGAAATCCTTTAAAAAGGAAAAAGAAAATAATAAAAGAGAAGAAAGAGAGAAAAAACAAGAAGATTTGCTTATAGCAACTGAAGAATTAATAACAAATAGGCAAATTGAAGAAATTCCAGATTCTTCTACTTTATCTTATTCTTCTAGTTTAAAAGACTTAGAAGATTTAGATTTAGAAGCTAATAATGAGTCAGATATTAATTTATCTGTAAGTAATAATAATAAAAATAAGTCTTTAAAAGAAAGATATATTAATAAAATAATAGGACCTATAATATCCAAATTATCTCACTATATTAAAATATATAAAGAATTTAAGGTAAATACTCCTTTAATTAATAAAGATAAAAATATATTAAATTTTATATTAGATACAGGCGCTACAAAGCATATTGTTTCTAGTAAAAAATATTTATTTAACTATAAGAAAATCCATAAGATTGTGAGATGGGGAAAGGCTTCCTCTATAATAGTTGAAGGCTGTGGTAATTTAATTATTCAGTTTTTAAATAAAAAGAATTTATTTCTAAAAAACTGCTATTTTATTCCTCAATTAGGAATTAATATTATAAGCCAATCCTCTTTAAAGAATATAGGTACTTATATATATAATAATGATATCTTCTTATTTAAAGAAAGATATTTTATAACTAAAGGTTCTAAAATAAATAACTTATA